AGTGGCACCTCGCCAGGGGCAGCCGCACTGTTTGGGTGAGGCGGGAATGATCAGCCACAAACGCCGCAATCAGGGAGAAACGGCTGCTCGGCCCCGGCGCCCGCACAAGTGCCTAATTGGCTCCACGCGTGTGCGCCTTCTTTCGAGAGCGGGAAAGTGGAAGGGTCAAGATCTCTTAATGTTCCTAACGGAGGGAGGCGGGAGCCACCGCCAGTCCCGCGCACACCTTTCAGCTGCCCGGAGGCGGCGGGCGGAGGCAGGGGCGCTGCAGANTCCCGCCGGTCTGTCCACCACCGCGGCGCCTTTCAGAGGGAGAACCCGGAGCCTCGGCCTCGGCATGACGTTTAGGAGGCTCCCACTCTGGGCCAAGCCTTGGCAGCAGGTGACCCCGTGGCCCCCATCAATGAAGCATCGGCGGACCCAGTTCTGAACTCCCCCCCCCAATCCTTGCTGCCCCCTCCAGGCAGCCCTAAGCTCACTATTACCCCTTGACTGAAGGAGCTGCCCCATTCCGTCAGCACCTCTCTGTTGCATCAGACCAGTGGTTCTCAACCAGGGGGAACATCTGGCAATATTCGGAGACATTTTGGGCTGTTACAACTGGGGAGTGGCACAGAAGTGACACCTAATGGGATGCTGCACAGAGCAGCCCCCACAACACAGAGCTGCCTGCTCCAATGTCAACAATACCGACACGGCGACGCCTGTGTTAGGTGACGCCGGAGAAAGAGCGGCGAGGGACCGGGAGGCAGGCCGGCTGTTCTGCTTCCTGACAGGGGCGCCGTCTGCCCCACAGCCCTGGCCCCCGGCTCACTCCTCCTGCTCCTCTGAGCACCCAGCCCAGAGCCCAGTTCCTGAACAGACCTGGTCACACTGCCAACAATGCATCCGTTTAATTGGGTTAAGTGGCCATTAGCAGCAAAAGCAGGGCGGCTGCATGCAGAAGGGTTTTTAATTTTACTCTTTAAATGATGCTCGCTCCCCAGAGAGGCCACTGATGGTGGGAACACTGCCCACTGGAGCCCCCAGTACCAGAACCTCGGCAGCACCCCCCGTCCCATCCACCTGGGCCTTGTGGGGGCCGGGCTGGGAGGGGGGCTCAGTGTCATTGCCACTGCCCAAGGAAGGAACTGCGGGGGCAGGGACTTGCCCAAGGTCACCAGGTCATCACAGAGCGAGCCCATCAGAAGAGAGCAGAACCCCATCCCCCTGTGGACAGCAAATGTCATGTGGCCACTGGTGGTTGCACAGAGTTGGGGGGTAGTGTGGGGGGTCTGGAGCCCAGCTGCCTGGATTTAATGCCTGCTTTTGCTGGAAGACCTGGGCCAATGGCTTAACACTCTGGGCTCAGCTTCCTCCCATGTAAAATGGGAATAAGAGGAGTAGGGAGGGTATGGAGCAACCTGGCATGTTCCAGCTCATCTTTGGCTGGCACGTGGCAGGCACTCAGACAGAGGCCAGTGATCACGGAAGGAATTATTTCTGCCATTTCAGGAGAATGTCCCGAGCTCTGAATCTACACAGAATCGTCTGTGGAGCCCAGCTCCACCCCACAGAGTCTGAGGCAGTGGGTCTGGGCTGGGGCCTGGGCATCATGGCTCCTGTCCCCATCCCCTCGGTCTTAATTGTTCAGGATGAGCTTTGGTCTTAATTATGTTTTAATGTGCTTTTAATCAAAGTCTTGCCCCTTTCTCCTTTCCCATGTTTGTTTGCAGCCTAAGTGCATATGAAGGAAGGGAGGAAGGGATGTTGGGGGTCTGCCCCCCCCCCAGCCACATTCCATTGTTCCTCTCTCCCCAGACCCCATCCAGTAATCCAATTTAAATCCTCTTGCCCTGGTCTGGAATTTTAATTTGGGTCTTGCAAAGAGGGAACTGAGCAATGCAGGATGGGAGTTCATTGTCTCATCTAATCAGGTTCAATCAGATGTTTGTAACAAGCTTCTCCAAGCTGCGAGGGGCGGGTTATGGGGCCAGGAGTCAGGTGGGAGCAGCCAGGTCAGGGCTTTGAAGCAACCAGCAGCCACAGGTCTGGGAAACCTGCTGGAGCCTCAGCTTCTCAGCTTCGGACACATGGAAGGGACCTCTCTAGGAGCACCTACCACCAGGAGGTGGTGGGCCTTTGAGGCAGGACCCACGCTGTTGAGTCCCAGGAAGGGGAGGGAGATGCCTACTTCATATAGCAGATTGGAAGCAGAGCTGGACCCAGATAAGGACTCTCCTGTCCTTCCAGCTGGGACTTGACACCCAGTTCCTCTTTCAGAAAGGTCATTGCTTCATGGTCCTCCCTCCATTCACTAATGGGGGACTCAGACAGGAGCCAGGAGGTGCTGCAGCAGGGGGACTTCACTGGCCAGGAGAGTGCTGGGAAGGGAGGGCTGTGGGCTCCATGCTCACCTCGGGGATTATGTGGGGAGTCGAAGGCCTGGCTTAGGGTCCTACTGACCAGGATTCAAATCCTGGCTCTGCCACATCCTGGCTCTGCTAAATCCTTGCTCTGCATGGCACCTCTGAGGCTCAGTGTCCCCTCTGTGAAGTGGGCGTCCCTCACGTGCTTGCTGTGACAATGACGTGACAGACTCAGCACATGGTGAGCGCCCGATCAGGGAGTGTCTTTTCCTATCACCCTTCCACTGACAGTAATGTGTGTTTGGTGCACTGAGCACCAGGCCATGGGCTGGGCTGCAGAGGTAGTGGGAAGGAGACTCACACCTGCCCTGCCTCTTGGGGCAGAATTTGGCATGTGGCGCAGGGACAGGGTCCTCTGGGCCCATAGTGGGTGGGAGGCTCCCCCTATTCCATGATCTAGGTCACACAGGGACAGGCAGGGGGCCCTAGGTGGGCAGCAGGGCCCAGCTTTGGGGAAAGGGCTCCTGGATCTCTCCCGGGCCTGGATGTGGTGGGGGTTTAGGCTGGGTGGCCGTCCTGACTTGACCCTGCCAGGACCCTGGCCTGAGCTTGGGCATGGCGCCGGTGGGCTTGCTCATGTGTTTGTATTTTTTTTTTTTTAAACAGCTTTACTGATATATAATTCACATACCGTAAAATTCACCCACGTACAGAATACAAGTGGTTTTTTAGCATATTCAGAGTTGTGCAACCATGACCACACTCTAATTTTAGAATGTTTTCATCGCCCCAGAAAGAAACCCTATACCCATTAGCAGACACTCCCTATCCCCTCCCTGCCAGCCCTAGGCACCCACTAATGCACTTTCTGTGCCTATGGATTTGCCTATTCTGGACATTTCACAGAAATGGGATCACACGATAGGTGGTCTTTTGTGACTGGCCTCTTTCACTTAGTATAATGTTTTCGAGTTCATGCCCATTGCCCATTGTCTGTGTGTCAGTACAGTACTTCCTTTTTGAGTGTTAATTCTCACCCGAGGATATTTTTTCCATTGAATTTTTTCAGGGAGAGTGGAAGGGAGGAGGGGTGGGGAGAAAGAAACTTCGATGTGAGAGAGACACATAGATCGCTTGCCTCCCACAAGCGCCCCAACTAGGGCCGGGAATCAAACCTGCAGCCCAGGTGTGTGCCCTTGAAAGGGAATCAAACCCGTGACCCTTTGGGGCGGGGGCTGACGCTCTAGCCACTGCACACACCGCCCGGGGCTGTACTTTCCTCCTTTCTATTGGACTTGTCCCTTTGACACAGGTGGGGGCAGCTGCAGTTGTGCCTCTGATCTGGGGGCCACTTGGCCCCTCCCTCATTTACTGTATAACCTGCCCAAAGCACCCCGCAGCTCCAGAAGCCCCTCCAGCTGCTGTCCCCGGGCTTGGCCAGCTCTGTACAGCAGGTCCGGGAGGCCCAGCAGGTTCTCACCCCACAGAGACACTGTGCCTTAGAGATGACAGGTGCAACCTCTCTGAGTATGGAGAGCAGACAGGGGCCCGGAGGGAGGCAGAGGAACATTCAAAGTCATGGGCAGAGCAGAGGCTCCGGTCCCCGGCATCACATGGCCACAGGTCTCTCTGTGGGGCTTTCAGGTTCCCTTCACACTCCCTCCCCATCAGAGCCAGCAGCCCACCCCCAGCCACCAACAGGTCAGCATCCTGGCCAGGTGTCGCCCAGGGCGCACTGACAAAGCGGAGGATGGGAGGATCCCAGGCCCAATAGGAGGGAGAGGTGGACTCTGCCTGGGCCCCACCACCATACCCACACAGGGTCCCCGAGACCCCTGGTCACCCCTCATGCAGGCCACTCCAGATCAAACCATCCTGCTCCTGCCACAGCCACCATAGTCCACATGGGCACAGCCCTGCCAGTGATGGCCCAGCCTGCATTGAGAGGCCAGGAGGGCCGTGCTCTTGGGAGGTTAGGACACAACCCTCACAGTGCAGGGCCAGGTCCTCCCTCAGTCCTGACACTCACACCTACCTTCAGGGCCTGCACCTTCCTGTCTAGCAGGCTCTCGATATCCCCGGCCACCTTCTCCACCAGCTTCTGAGGCTCGTTTTCCTGCACCTCAAACAGATTCCGGTTGTCCTTGTAGATCTGGAAGGAAACAGAGCCAGGGTGAGGCCAGAGGGTCACACAGGCCCATGTCACGGCCCTTCACGTCCTCTGTGCACAGCACAGTCCTCACCCCCACCCCTGCTCTCTGTCCCCCACCCACTGGGGGTTCAAGCCAGCAGTGTGGGGGGCAGATGCTGGGAGGCAGAGGAAAAGGGCCAGTTCCGCAGCTGGCATCGGCTGTGATTGGGAGGGTGGGGTTGTCGCTGCCTTCTCTGGAACTCAGGGTTCCTCCCCCAGGGGCCACAAGCCGCAACCCCTGACTAGCTCAGAGTGGCTGAGGGCAGCAGAGGGGGAAGCATGGGCTGGATAGGAGGCAGGGCGTGTGGCGGGTGGGCCAATAAGCACACACAGCACACCACACACCAACGCAAAGATGCTCTCATGCTCACACGTGCACACACACCTATACGCCCCCACGTGCATTACACTCACAGCCACCCCTCCACACGGGCTCAGGCATCCACACCCCTTTGTGCTGGTGCTGCCCCAGGGCATTTGCAGAAACTGTAGCCGCAGCTCTGGGTGCCTCCAGGGGATCTTCTGTCATTCAGGGCACAGAATATGGGAGCAGGGACCAGGGAAGGAGAGGTACATGGGGGAACGAATCCGCCACTCTCTCCGCCTTGGGGGGCGGGCCTGTGTACACACGCAAGTGGGGGTGTGAATCTGACAGTCTGAGTCTGCATGAGTGAGCGTGTGTTATGGCTCAACACACATCAGTCTGCGCCCAAGCCTGCGCGTTGAGGGCGGGGTGGGGTTAGAGCCTCTAGAAGCACAGAGCCTGGGGGCTCGTATGTGAGAAGCAGATCTGTGGGCGTTTCTGTTCGTGGCTGGAGTCTTGGGGGAGTGTGTGCACACACGTGTGTATGCACTGTACAACCCTGTGTGCGCCTGAGCCTGATGGGTCCATGTGTCCATCCAGGTGACCCCAGCGGGTCTGCGCCACCATGACTGAGCTCCGGCCACCAGGCTGTGCCATGGGGCTGTGCAGAAGAGAAGGAATGCGGAGAGAGAGAGAGGAGGTGACGAGAGGCGATAAGGAGGTGGGATCGGCAGCTGATGAGAGACAGACGGGCAAGAGAGATAAGGTCGGGAGAGTGACAGAGACGAGGGGAGACAGGGCCTCAGGCGTCTGAGGGGGAGGAGGTGGGGGACTGGGTGCTCCAGAGCCCGCACCCACCCAGCACCTGGCAGTCCAAGGGTTAAAGCTGCAATCGCCTCCTCCCGCCCCCATCCCGCCGGCTTCTCTTTTCTTTTTGTCCTTCTAGAACAAAATAATTTGTGGTGAAGTTGCTCCTTCCCACAGAGCAGTGGCGATTAGAGAGCGAGTTGCGGGGCCTGGGTGCACAGCCAGGAACGATGGAGGCCCGAAGTGGATACCAGGCCTGGCTGTTCCCCAGGCCCCCTGGGCCCTGCCTCAGGACGGAGGTCTCCAGGTGGAGGCAGAGGTGAAGGAGGGGTCAGAGCCCGGGAGTCTCTGGGAAATGCAGGAAGCCTGGAGCCAGGTGCCCGCTGCTGGGGAAACAGGCTCAGAAACAGGAGAGGACAGATCAAGGACACATGAGTGGCAAAGCCAGGTCCCCCATCTTCCCTGAGCCCTCCTGTCCAGGTTTCAGGACATTAGAAATATACCGGTTCCCCGACCTTGGACTGCACCCTGGGGGGGCGGGGGCACAGTCTCAGTCACACTGGCTGAATGAAGCCTTGGCTGAGTGCACCCAAGTCCACTTGTGCCAGCAGGGGGCGCAGCTGCCTGGCTGCTCAGGGCATGGGATGAACTTCTCACACCTGATGCCCGCGTCAAGGTCATTCCCAGGTGCGCCTATTTGGGGCTGTCCATAGCAGCGGCAGCCCCAGACCTGAGGCTAGACTGTGTGGCTGCTGACAACTCTCCTCAGGGAGCCCAGGAGTCCCTCTCTGCCGGGTCCAGGGTGTCCCTTGCAGCCTGGCACAGTGAATGGGCTAGGGGGATGCCAGGGAGTGGGTCTCCAGGTGGCAGGGTCACACCTAACAGATGGTGCAAGGGCTTGAAAGCGGGGAATCTGCCAAGAGCCACCCCATTTCTGAACCTGTTCAATGCACTAAATGGGAGGACAGCAGTCCCCACTTCCCAGGCTGGCCTAGGACTGCAAGGAGCCTACATTATTGTAGCTACTGCTAGTGTTACCACCACCAGAGTTCTGCAGAAGGAATCACAGTCCCCTTCCTGCCTCTACTCTCTCCCTGCTACATCTGCATTCTTAGGATCTGAAGCCATTGGCTTCCACTCCTAGGCGGAGAGCTTAGGTCTCCTGGGGTCTGTCACCTCCAGCCCCCCCCTTCTCCCTGGTCTCCCAGGGCAGTGCCTCCCAAGCCATCTTGTCCTTGTCTCTGACACCTCAGCTTGGGTCCTGGAGGTGACAGCAGGGGAGCCCAGACACAGGGACGCCACTAATAGGGCACAGGCACAGCCAGCTCCCTTCTGTCTCTCCCCGGGGACTGGGCCTGTGTGCAGCGGACCCTCGGCAAATGCACACGCCTGATTCCATGTTCAAGAGCAGAGCTCCGGGGCCCGCTAGACCCAGCTCTGACTCCACTCTGCCTGCAGTTCTGCTACTCCTTGGAGACTGGGCTGTGTCTGCCATGCTTTCTTCCTGTCCCATTCTACCCAAGGACCCACTGTGGTACCCTTCTGCTGGCCCACTGACCTGGCAGGCACCTGCAGACCAAGCCTCCGGATCCCCAGTCCCTGCTGGCTCCTACCACTACCCCTTGGCTCACGCTGTCCCTGCTGCCCTTTGCCTTTCCCTGCCTATCAAAATCCTCCCTCGAGCAAGGGTGGGGGAATGGGCTAGGAATTTCTGGGGAGATGAGGGCAGAATTGTAGAATGGCAGGGGCTGGTCCAGCTACCAGCAAGCCTGTCCCCCAATCCCAAATGAGTCCCTGGGAGAGCAATAGACTCCCTTCCTTCTATTGCAGGTGCCTCAACCCTCTTTTAACATTTCCCTACCCCTGCCCCCAGTTGCCCCTGTCCCCTGGGGTGGGCCCTGAGTCTCAGGGAGATCTGAGAGACACAGTCCGGCAGATGGTCCCGCCCTGGGAGATAGGTCACCTCTCCATCCATGCAGTCCGGGAGGGGCTTTCCACCTGCAGGCCCAGCAGGAAGCCCGGGAGAGCCCTGGGCACCTCCAGAGCACGCCCAGGGCGGGCTCCCCTTGAGCCCCAGGGGGAGCTCCCCTTCAAGCCCTGGCCCCCGGGGCCAGCTCAGCAGGAACAGGCAGGCCAGGGCGCACCAGGCACAGGGCCTCAGCTACTGCGGCAGGACCGCATGCCTGCTGGCGTCCTTGGCCCCGCGAGCTAACTGGAAAAAGCCAGCAGCTCCCACAGCAGCGCGGCCCCCACCTCCGCACAGGCAGCTGGGCCAGGGACAGGCGGGGCCGCGGGTCTACAGGTGGCTAGAGCTCCGCACCCACCGCGACAGGGCTCCATGCCACAGAGGAGGTGGCAAACGGCAGGGGCAGGGCAGCAGACTAGGGAAGGGCTAGCTGGGCACAGGTGGGCACACGGGAGGGCAGGAGACAGCGGCGCAGGGGCTGAGGATGGAAGAGCGGGGTGGCCGAGGCGCAGAGGGACAATGCAGGGGGCAGTCTGTACCTTCTCATTCCCAGGAGGCCCTGCTCCCCCCACCCCGTATCATGCGTCTACGGCCACGACTCCCCTGGGCGTACTCCTCCCCTCGAGGCCGCCCCTCAGCAGGTATGGAGGCCTGTCCCTCCATCTCTCCCTCATCGCCTTACCCCTGCCCAGTGCTGGCCCCAACCCCACCCCTCTTTCAGCTCCAGCGAGTCTGGCCAGCCTTTTGGCTGAGGGATTTCCAGGGTCTGTGGGGCCAAGGCCTCCTCAGGGACACCAGAGCCTCCTGCTTCCCTGGGTGGCTTCACAGAAAGGGGAGGTGAGCCCGGAGGACACTTGGAGGAATGGTGACATTGGATAGGAAGCCCCGATGCTCACAGGGGCAGACGAGTCAGCCCAGCCCCCACAGCCGTCAAGAGTCCCGACTAGGAGAGGGGTGCCTGGAACACAGATAGCCACCACGAGACAAAAGGCCCCAGTGACCCGGACAGCCCCAATCACACTGAAGAGGCAAAGTCCCGGAAAGCCAGCAGCAGTGGGGCCCGGACGCAAGTCAGTAGCCAACCTGCCCAGGCAGAGGGGGACGGTATGGGGAGAGGAAAAGGGAGGGAGGGGGACCATGGGGGCCACAGGAACAGCCCCGTTCCCCGAGTGTAGCTCTCCATCCCGGGGCAGGTGCTTTATACCCTTGACGTCGCTGATCTGACGACCCCCGAGGAGGGACCCTTCAGATCATGCCCATTTAGCAGCTGGCACACTGAGGTCCAAGAGGTTAAGTTCCACAGCAGAGCTCAGATTTGAACCAGTCAATCTGATCCACAGCCCTTGTTTTAGGTCACACACCGTGCAGGTCTGTTCCTCACATTTATCGCCAAACTTGAAGGTAAGGCCTCTGGCATAGTGGGTGTGCGGGACAAGCTGGTGGTTTGGTGGGTCTGAAGGGGTCTGGGGCAGAGCCAGGGTGATGCTGAAGGGCTGTGGCCCATGGAAGGCAGGAGTGTCATTCTGGAAGGGGGCACAGGGAGGACTGGCAGAACCAGCCTGATCAGCTAACCAACCACCCAACCCCGTGAGTGAAAAACAGACACGCATGCGAGACTCCTCTCTGCAGCAAAGGTGAACGAGCCCTAATCTCTGGAAAATTAAATCAGAAAGAAAATGGAACGAGAAAGATTTGATGTAGGCTGGGCCCTGCTGCTGGCTGTCTCCTCAAAGGCCCAGGCTCAGCAGGGGGTTCAGCTGGGTGCTCCGGCATTCCGGACCCT